TGACCTGCAGATATTTCTTTTGTTAGTTCAAAAATCAACAAGATGTCGATAATTACTTAAAGTAGGAGTATAATTTTTTTTTTGCTAGCATATGCATCACAATACCCAAGGATCCAGCGACTCTTCAATATTCTCTTCATGGGTAGTTGTCAGTCAAGTTTCTAGCAGCTCTTCATTGTTCTCTTTAACCCTTCAATTCTACCTTCATGAAATACTCCAGAATTTGTTGATGGTTGATTAGAAATAAGAAATTTAGAAAGAAAATATTTCACATGAGCTCGAAAAATTCAATATGCAGTTTTCAAATAAACCTCATAGCCCACAGTACTCGAGCTAAATACATGATATAGTAGTTCAACAATAAAGAATACACATCGGTGATGAATGATGGTGCCCCTAAAATTTTTGTTTGGCAATTAAAAATCACCACTCAATGCCTATGGTTATTGGAGGATTACCAAAACATAGAGCATATCCATTGGTTTGCACAATAGAAGCACACAAATGAAGTGAAAATCACCATGTATATGCAATCTTAATCTTCCCAATCATTTGCTCATTTCTATCTATCAACCTGTCAAATTTCTTGTTCACATCCGATGTTTGATATATATACTGCAACTTGACGTCTAATCTCTCAACTCAGTCAATACAATTTGATATAATTAAGATCGGCTAGTAACATGCATATACTTGCAGTACCAAGCTATGAAGGTTAATTATGGACTCTTTATTTCTGACTAATAAAGAACTGTTACCCTGTTAGCATTGTTACAACTTGCAAAACGGAATCTTATATTTCACATGTGTAAAGGTGTAAGAACAGTTATGTGTTAAATGTAATCATACTGTTCTAAATTGCTGATTGGGTGGATCTGTGGTTCCTTTAGGAAGATAATGCATTGGAAAAAAAATGTAATGATAGAGCTACTACACTTGGTTGGGCTATGACTATGAGGCTAGCTCTATAAGAATCAAATTCCTTTTGCATGGAGGCTGTATGCATATCTATAACATGTTATATACTGCCAAAAGATATTGGTGGCATAATTTTGTAACACACAATACCTGATAGTTCTAGCAACAAACAAAATGATTGTTTGGTATAAACGTGCTTGCTCAATAACCATGTAATAGGAAAGCCTATTTGATCTATGAAATAGGAGATGGAAAAAAGATAAAGGATTACTATCCTGAATCCTGATTCATAAGCAGAAAAATCAAAAGCTTTATAATATGCAGACTGACATATCTATCCATTCTATTCGAGCTGCTATTATAAATAGAAACAACAATTTGACTAATATGATTTGCCAAAAATCAGCAATCAAAGATAATGATGTAGACATATGCAGGGTGTTGACATCGTTTTTCATTGTATCAAGATGCCGCCTCATGTTTGTGTAGCAACGTGGAAGTCACAAACCGAAATAGTATATAGAGCATATACCATGTAAGTCACCGACTGAAATAGCATAAAGCATATACGTCAGAAACCGGAATAACCTAGTTTAGAGGAAGAATTCAGTGTGTACTGCATGCTGAGGTGAGAGAACCACCTCCCGACATACCAATTTCCTGAAAGTAATAGTGTCTTGATCCATACTATATTACTATGTCGATCAGTTAATGAAGCTAATTGGAGTTCGGTGTTTGTGTCAATGTAGAATGTGACCAGCTGAATATGGATTGATATAGATGGAGAAACAGAATGAGATGGATGAAAAACGAATCTGACGGATGAATGAAAAACTGAAAGTGACAGTATGCTCACCGTAGGGCGAGGCGGTGAGGCGGTGGTGGTGGCGGTGTGAGTAGACCCCAGCTCTCCTTCCTCTCCGTCGTGGCACGAGCAGGGAAGCATGTGGATCCTTGGAAAGTGGGGCATTTACCCATGAAATATCTGGGGATACCAATAGACAAGCACCCACTGAAAATAAAATGGAAGGAAAACTTAGCTTGGCTGAGCAAACTCTTTGCCAAAGGAGGGAGGTTGACCCTTATTAATGCCAGCTTGAGCAGTGTCCTTTATACATGCTATATTTCTATGAGATCCCTAAGGGAGTAAGGAAGAAAATGGAATTTTTCGAAACTAGATTCTTATGGCAAGAGGATCAAGGTGTTAGGAAGTAACATCTAGTAAATTGGCCCACTGTATGTACACCTAAAGAGGTTGGGAGTTTTAGAGCTAGGGAAAATGAATACAACCCTGCTTGGGAAATAGCTATGGAAACTAGAAAAATGAACATGGTATTTGGCAGGACTTGCTTAGATCAAAATACCTCTATCAAAAAACCCTAACTCAAAAGAAGCCCAACCCTAGTGATTATCAATTCTGGAAAGGATTGATTAATGTGAAGGAAACTTTTCTTCAGTTATGAGAGAAGAAGATAGAGAATGGGAGGAATACCTTGTTTTGGGAGGATAGCTGGATGGGAGGTACGCCGTCCTCTGGCTGACCAATTCCCTGGACTATATAATATAACTTTAACAAAGAAGGTGTTGGTTGCCCAAGTAGTGGAAAAAGGCTTTGGTGGATCAAATTCAGAAGAACCCTATATGACAGAAAACTAGAGGAATGGAACAAGTTACAGAACATATGGCAATCAATTGCATTGTCTGATGTTGAAGATAAGACTGTTTGGAAACTGACAAAAGATGGTGTTTTCACTATCGAATCCTTTTATACAGCCTTCATATTGCAAAACACTTGGTGAAGGTTTTTCTTTGGCTTTTATTGAAAAACATCATCTTAATAATGGAGAATTTGTTGAAGAGAGGCTGGAAGGGCAAAGAATCCAAATGCCAATTTTGTGCAAATAAAGAAACTATGGAACACTTATTCATAAAGTGTCCTATGGCTACATTCCTATGTGAGAACATATTATATGCACACAAGCTTCATGTGCACACTCCGTGCACACCAACTAATAAATATCATGAAAAATTCTAAAAAAAAATGGACATTTACTCCTAATAGTATTACACATATCTATAAAATCTCATATTCAAATTCATTATATTTTAACCGTAAAAAAAATGAAAAATCTAACAGTTTTAGGGGTAAAGGGGTAAAAATCTGTCAGAATTGTCTCTTTTTTACGGCTAAAATATAATAAATTTGAAGGTAAGATTTCACACGTAAGTGCAATACTATTGGAATATGTGTCTAATTTTTTTAGAATTTTCTGTGATATTTGCTAGTTGGTGGGTACGAAGTGTGCACGGGAAGCTTTTGTGCATAGGGTATATTTCCTTCCTCTGGAATGTGGTAAATGGTGTTTTTGAGCTGAAACCAATTAACAGCACACACGCGACCTATTTGGGGGGCGTGGCTACATGATTTTTGGAAAATTGACAAAAAAAAGTGACAGAGATGGGCATTGCTGCGATCATGTGGACTATTTGGGACTGTAGAAATGCATCGTGCTTTAATGAGAAGAAAATTCAGGTCCCAATAGATCTCATTCATGTTTAGTTTCAAACATTTTCTTCAAATTTCTAACTTTTCCATTACATCAAAACTTTCCTACACGCATAAACTTTCTTTTTTATCACATCATTTTAATTTTAACCAAACTTTTAATTTTAGTGTGAACACACCCTATGTTTATGGATCGATGCTTGGGCTGTCTCGCAGAAATCGGAGGACGCGTGAAGACTGTGCTGCTAAAGAAGGTGGTCGCTGACAGCTGCAACGCAAGTCACATGTGGAATTCTTTCATCTGACGCCTGGAGCAGGGAGCTTAAGAGAAAGCGAGAGACATTTTTTGAATCTTGTGTGGTTATGTGCTTGTGATTATAGCACTGTTTAGTTCCCATGCAAAAATTTTATACCGTGTCATATCGAACGTTTGGACATATGTATAGAGTATTAAACATAGAAAAAATAACTAATTATACAGTTTGTATGTAAATTGCGAGATGATTTTTTTAAGCCTAATTAGTCCATGATTTGATAATGTGGTGCTACAGTAAACATTTCCTAATGACGGATTAATTAGGCTTAATAAATTTGTATCGCAGTTTACAGGCGGAATCTGTAATTTGTTTTTGTTATTAGTCTACATTTTTTACTTCAAATGTGTGTGTCCATATATCCGATGTGACACACCGAAACTTTACACCCCTGAATCTAAGCACCCCCTGTATGTGGGAATGTTTTTCTGCATACCTGTCGTTGTTTTTAACTGTTGAGTAGTGTAAGCAAAACTCTGTAAGGACCAGGATTTCCTAAACCGCCGGGGCCGGGGTTACCGCACCCCGGCGGTAAGCACGGTTACCGTGGTAACCGTGAAAAACCGTACAAAACTGTGTAAAATTCATCAAAAATTCAAATTATTTTTTAAATTTATTTGAATTTAAGGAGGTTACCACGGTATTTACGTTACCGTTCCCCGCGGTAAGCCCGGTAATACCGGCGGCGGTGACCTAATGTCATGTCATGTCAGTAATGAAATAGGAGGATCACCCCTCTCTTTTTTTTAAAAAAAAAAGTGCTATGCTAAGCTAAAATGCTTGTTCGAACAGGGCCTGAGTCGAGTCAACTTAATTAACTTAACTTCAACCGTCGCTATTCTGGCCTGACCAAGAAGCATCCCAACAAACGCACGCAACTTCAGTACTCGCTGCCAATCGCCGGGAAGATACCGGGATCATGCATCTCGGTCGTCGTCATTGCCAGATCGTCAGCGATATGCAAGCAAAGCCGATGACTCGTTGGCCCATCACTTCTTAGTTTTTGCGACGAAGAGGGCAACAGCTACGCCGAAATTATCCGGCAACTCATGCATTAACTACGCTGCAGCTTGGTGACACTAGTGATTAACTATCTTGATCCATCTGCTGGCAGCTGACTTGAGTTGGAAATTCTCAATGCTAATTATTGGCATCTCTTGTTTCTTCTCCTCCTACTACTACTACTACTACTTCACATCTCCATTTTTTTAAGTTGGATAATGATAGACACTAGTAGTGTACTACTACTATATATATACAAACACACACACACAGTGTCCTAGAAAAGCACTCTTATTAGCAGAGGAGAAGCTTAACAACTCTGTCATATGTGCATATACAGAACACTGTAGTTAGCATCTCTGTGATTAAGCGGCGTCTTCCAGGACTCAAGCAGCGCAGCAGCTAGCCTAGCCATGACGGTAATTATTGATTTGAGTTGTTGCATAGTTGTGAATTATGTCTCCTCTGGTTCAGTCTGGTGATGATCTGATGCTGAATTTAAATCTTCTGCTGATGCAGATCGTGGAGATGCAGATGAACATCGACTGCGACGGTTGCGAGGACAACGTGAGGAAGGCACTCCAGAGGCTCCAAGGTTCGTGCCAATAATCCTCTTTTGAGAAATTTAGCACCAATTAATCCGTTAATCACTGTGGATTAAGTGTTAACCTGTAGTTTAGCTCGCTTAATCGTCGTCGTCGTCTTCTTCAGGGGTGGATTACGTGGACGTGGACAGGGTGAGGGGGAAGGTGACGGTGACGGGGTCGGCGAGCCAGAAGAAGGTGCTGCGTGCAGCGCGGCGCTCCGGGAGGATCGCCGTGCTCTGGCCGTCGGCGTACGACACCGACCACCGCCACCACCACCAAGCCTACTACGCGCAGCCGGCGTACCATCACCACCACCACTACCAACAAACCATCAAGCCCGCCGCCGCCGCCGCCGCCGCCGTCGCCGTCGCCGCGCGCGCGCCCCACCACCACCACCAACACTACAGCAGCGTGCAGCACGGCAGGATGAGCGGAGGAGGCAAGGCGGTGAGCTCGTACAACTACCACGTCCACGGATACTTCGACTCCGACCTCCACGGGTACAGCGGCGGCCACCACCACGGCGACGTCGTGCCGGCCGCCGCGCGGAGCTACTTCAGCGACGAGAACCCGCACGCCTGCGCCGTCATGTGACCGTCGCCGTCGCCGGCCGGTCGGCCGGAAGAACGCTGCTCTGCTCTGCATGCTCCTCTGTGTTCTTGTGTGGCTTTGTGCAGTTGTTGTTGTTGTGTACTTGTGTACAGTTTCAGACTTTCAGCCTTTCAGAGATCAGTCTGCGTGTTTTCAGGAGTACCTCGCTAGTTCTAGTATTGTAGCCTGAAACTTCTAAATCCAAGAGCAAAGTTTTGCTTTGCTTCCGGTTTGATGAATCAAATAGTATTGTTTTTTGAATGAAAGATTCAAGAAAACAGACTGAACCGTACTACTAAAATATTTGGCCGAATATAGCAAAACAGTAAAATAATGAACCTTAAGGCGACTTGCATACAAAAATTTCCATTTTTTGTATACAAAAAGATCTCCTCATGAGGAGTGCTAATGAGAAAACATTGGACAAGATAGGTTAAGGTGGTGTTTGAAACTAATAAAGATGAAGAGTGGTGTTTGAAACTAATAAAGATGAAGATTAAGTTGGAGCACGTAAAACGAGAAAGCTATTAGCATATGATTGATTAAGTTTTAATTATTATAAACTTGAAAAATATATATATTTGATATTTTAAAGCAACTTTTATATAGAAAGTTTTCGCACGAAACATATTATCTAGTAGTTTGAAAAATATGATAACGGATATCGTGATAGAATCTGTATCTCAATCTCACTTTTTCCACTATCAGTATGACATGGATCTTATCTACATCTTCTAGAGCTATATTCGTCGGAATTAATAATATGACGCAAGAAAGAGCATGACATAAGTACTTTATTAACACTTAATTCAATGGAAATTTTCTTTACAAGATACAATGAACTTGGAATGTATGCATAGGGAGTAATTGAGATATTTTTCTCGCCGAGAATTAACTCTATATGTATTTAACTCCATCTATTCATCTATCTGATCTGGAATAAGATAAACCGAGAGATGGTGCTGGTGCATACTTCTGAAAGTAAGCAATGTCTTTATCCCCTTTCATTTTCTGAAACTCAACTTTGACGTGGTGAAAGGGAACACAATCCGTTTCTTTTTCCTGTGAACCTTCTCCGTGTTGGATGACAACATGTTGCAACTTGAGCAAGAGGCAATTTATTTATTATTAGATCTTAGCAACAATACAGATGAGACTATAATCTGCAGTTTATAGTGCCAATGGGAGATGGATTTTCAAACAAGCATTCTCTTATATCATAACTTGTTTCATGCTCAGTGTAAAAGAACAAAAGAATTTCGTTACAACTCATGAAAGAACAAAAACAGAGGACATGGTTACATCTTATTCCTTGCATATTTAGCTAACACCTAAGAGAAACATTGAATGCATACAGCTCCTATCACAACACTGAGAAAGACATCTAGAATTAGTATCTTGGTACCAATGAAAATATCACAACAGGGTTTGAAAAAATTATTGCCTATGACATTGATATTTTAACCTAGGACCCACATGTTATTCACATATGTGATGGTATTTTCCAATTGTCACCTATTTGCCATGGTATTAGCCTAATTCTCTGTTTTGTCAAGTGTAGGGGTGGGTGTAGCAGAGATATGGGATATGTGCAACTTCTTCTGTGTGGATACAACCTTACAGGAGAGAAGAGAGGGGTCCCAGGCTCCCAGGCCCCAGCAGCACTGGACTGGGCTTCATTTGATATTTACTGAAGGGGCTACGGGATTGGGACCCTCTCTTCTATCTGCTTTCTTAGTACATTATGCAGCCTACCATAGAGCATCTGCTTCACCTTCTCAAATGCCCTGTCCAGGTTGTCTATCTGCACATACCATAGATACAAAAATAGTTACAATATACGTACAAACCGTACATGTTATTACACACTAAGTTTTGATCTTTGGTTATCCCTCATAGTAATAATTATCTGGGGGTTGATTTCAATCTCCATCACATGACCGTAAATAATAATAATAATTTGAAACAAGGATGACACATCACATGGAGAGCGAACTTGCCTGTTCTGTGGCATTCACATTGTACATGAAAAGCCCATAGTACAGATCGAAACTATCACTTATCGTGTTCTTAGTCTGAAAAGTTTCAGAAAAAGAATATCATTCCCCACACAATAAAAAAAGGATAAGATGTTTTCTCTTCAAGAGTTTCGTTAACTCTGCTTACAAGTTGCAGAAGGGTCTCATAACCCTTGGTGTTGATTGGTGTGGACTCAAGGTTTAGCTGTGACAAAATCCTGCTTCAATGGTACAAAAATTAGCTTTTGGACTCTAATAAATAAATGGAAATGATTTTTTTATATAAAAAAACAGAGCTGGTGTGTATATTACAGTGAGATAATAAACAAATGGACATGTTAAACAAGCACCAGAAGATACATTTAATAGGTGAAATGGTTCCAGATAAATAACCTGTTGCTCACCTCCCAATAGTGTGAGTGATGAACTGACTTCCCGCGGCATAGCGATCATGCTCTTCGCACAACATCTCCACCATCCTACATCCCTGCCAGTAATAGAAAGAAACAAAATGAAACACAACCAGTTTGCACGCCTTCAGTAACTGTCATCAGTTATTTCAGGTATCAAGAACTACTCCACTGGTTTTATCCACTGTAACTAGCAAGAACATAAAATTCTGACAGATAAATCAATCAACCGAATTACCTCCCGCTCAAAGATGCTCAAGAACTGTTCGCACTTGGCCGCCTGATCCCCTTCCTTGGCAACACGGACCTTGTCATAGACAAAAGGTAGCCCACTCCAGCCATGCTTTCCACTCTCCGGCCCAAACATGGGGTGCGTACATACAATCCCGAACCCCGGAGGGAGGATCTAACAAAATGTATCACTCCACAATAATTAACTAATGAAGTCAAGCTAATGTAGTATTCCGATCTAGTCATGAAAGCATGTTGTTTTGGGTGTGCTTTAAATCAAACTTTAGAGCTTTAAACATCAATATCATTTCAAATATTTTTAACTGGTGGTGCTGCATGAAAATGATTTGTAGATTTTTCTCGGAGAGCACTTTCATAATATCCAAAGTTTATCATGTTTTACAAATAAATGACAATATAAAGAGTCTGGTCAAAGTTGTATCTTAGAGGCCTATCAGTGTCCAAAACACTAGTAACATGTTTCTCGACCAGAGAGAGCACCATTGTACTAATACTAGCGGTAGTGCAGTTACACATCCCACATCAAGCCAAATGTGTGTTGGCGTCGTGTGCTTGGCAGGACCTCGAATCAAAAAATGTCTAGTGTGTCGATGTCACTACCACAAAGTCACTAACCAACAAGACCAAAAGAATAGTACTATCCTCCGCCTTTCAAGACGGATGACTCCCCCTAGTTTAGAGTTTCTTCTAGTAGGTTGGTCGGTACGTGTTGGATGCTGATTAGTGTGGCTAATCTCCAATGACAGTGACATGGTCATATCGAATTGGAGGCAGCAAAATCTGATTCGAGAGATGGTGTTGGTGGCTACTAGCAACCAGTGCGATCAATGGACGATTGAATTGATGTGATGTGTTTGCTGGTGAAAGTGTTGGTGTATGTACCTCGAGGAGGAGGTTGCGGGGGAACTGCTTGACGGAGAGCACGTCGGCGACGAGGGTTCCGGGGCGGAGCTTGCGGAAGGGGATGGCGCGGACGACGGCCTCGGTGGAGAGGATGGAGCTGCAGACGAGCAGGACGTCGGGCCCGGCCTCGCAGAGCTCGTCGGCGGTGGCGAAGAAGCGGATCCCGTGGCGGGCGCAGTAGCCCGAGTAGTCGGATCTGGAGGTGGCCAGCACCGCGTGCCCCTGCCGCTGGATCCCCCCCGCGATGAACTGCCCGAAGTTGCCGAACCCGACGATCCCCACACGCAGCGCCCCCGCCGCCGCCGCCGTCGCCGGCGAGGCGGCCGCGGTGGTGGGCTCCGACGGCGACGGATCATGGCCAACGTGCTGCTTCTGCTGCAGCTGCTGCTGGGGAAGGCTGGGGAGTTGCCTGGTCGGGCGGAGGGGGGCGAGGGCGCAGAAGTTGGGGTAGTGGCGGCGGAGGAGCAAGGTGGGGTGGTGGGTGGAATGGCGCGGGGAGGACGCCATGATCGATCGAGAGAGCTCGGAGCGCTCAGCTCGAGTAGAATTTGGCTGCGATCGATGGATGGATGCGTGGGTGGGCGTGGCGCGGCGGAGGGAGGGAGGAGTTGGGAGTTGGTTTGGTTGATAGATCAGTCATCACTCATCAGTGAGTGTGGTAGGTGGTGGGGGCCACCCGTCTCGACCGCGGTTGGTCAAAATGGCGCGGCTGTTTTTCACCTGTGTCGTCCCCAATTTTATACAATTGGTCAACGTGGTCAAATTGTGTTTTTTTTTACTGTCCCCCGATTATAGAAAATAAGGGCCCACGACCGGGCTTATTGGGCTGGCAAAATGGGCTCGAGAGACCAATACGATTTTTTTTTGAGAGGAAAAGAACTTTCCATTAACTTAAGGACTCAGCAAAATCGCTGGTCACCAAGTCCTCCATGCCCGGAGGCATACTGTCCCATTGTTCAACAGTGTTCCGAGGACATTTACAACCCAAAGCTCCTAAAGCATGCGCTACTCTATTACATTCTCGTTTCGCAAAAACAAAGGAACAGAAAAGGAAATTACTTCCGATCAGCTTCTTCGATTCATAAAACAAGCCACCCGTTGCTGCAAGTCTGTGATCATCGGTATCCATTGCTTGCTTCAAGATAATGGAATCAGTTTCAAAAACGATATGGCCCATTCCTAGTGCATTCGCGGCCCTTGCTCCGGCCAAGCACGCCACAACTTCCGCCTGGAAAGCATCTAGCAGACAAGATATCTTACCAGCACTTGACAGGATAACCTCTCCCTCCGAATCCCGAATTACAAAACCCCATCCTCCTTCCCCTGTTTCAGCTATATAAGCTCCATCAGAGTTTATCTTCAGTTTACCCACAGCAGGTCTGCACCATCGTTGTTTTCTCCTTGTCACCTTATTTTGTTCAAAGCTGCATATGCTTTCAAAATCTGTTGCATTCTTCCCAACGAATTAATAACTCCACTTTTACTCCCTCGTAATATAGATCTAATCCAATTCGTATCCCTCAACTATAATATATGATATCTTGATTCTCTAACTATTAAAATTGATCTAATTTGACTCCCTCGACTGTTCTAAAAGTGGTTTTCGCTGACGTAGCACGTTTGCCTAGTCCAACTAGCACTGGGGAGTCTCAAAACCACTCTCAAAACCGCTTAGGAATTAAATTACAATGATTTTAATAATTAGGGGATCAAGATAGTTCAAGGACATAAATCAGATTGGCCAAGGAATCAAAGTGGACTTATCCCTTCCTTACTTCGGGTTGCAAATCTCGGCAACAACCAGGCCTACTGACGAATGGGCTATGGCCTACGGCCGCACGCAATCGATCCGCACTTCCATTTTCTATTTTTCACCCACACGGATTTCCTTTTCTAATTAAGGTCACTTCGTATACCAAAAGTTTATACATTCGATTCTGATTCAAATGATTTTATAGGGAATATAAAGTATTTTTAGATAGCTTCTCATGATGATACACACCCGGACTAGATTTAACATGTTCGCCCATTAGAAAATAAAAGATCATTTTGTGAGTAAACCTTTTAAATGCATGTCCTTATCGACTCAAAAGCAAATACTGTAAAATAAACTACGATGAAAAAAATCAAATTCAAAAATTTAAATTTTAGCTTATAAGTACTCCTTCCGTCCCTAACTATAAAGGATTTTGGTTGGATGTGATGTATTCTAATACAACGAATCTGGACATCAAGCCTGTCCAGATTCGTTTTACTAGGATGTGTCATATCCAACCAAAACCCCTTATATTTAGGAACGGAGGAGTAATAAGTATAATTCAAATAATGAGACCCTAGATGGCTAGATCTACCCACACGAACGAGATACACACGGACCATGCTTGCCCATTAGACCTACTAAATTCCCCAATAGGACAACATTTGTAATGGGAAAGCAGTACAATTGGATTCGGGGTTTTATTGGACTGAACTATTTCATGACCGAATACCGATTATGCCTTGGCCCTTGGCCAGCTCAAGTTGTACATAGGCGCATTTCCAGGGTAATGACTTTTGAGAGTGCAGTGACTAGGGGTGGACGTAGGATAAAAAATAACTGGGGGGCATGTATCTATATAACTCATAGAATAGTTAGAAAGCCAAGTAAATGTCACGCCCCGAACTAGTCCCGACCGGGACTAGCCCGTGACGCTCCAATTTAACCTGTTAATCGATACCAGTCCCAGGAAACAGTGCTGGTATCACAGGGAGACAGAATATCACAGCAACAGAGGTCTCTTTATTATAGAGTAGAAGTACAGTCATGTTGGGCTGCGGACAGATCCCGAGCTCATAACTGCATTACAAAAGGAAAGCGGAAGCCAGGACTTGGACCAATCATCACAGGCGCGACTTGGGAACTAGGTCGAAACCCTAAAACTCGTCGTAACCGGCTTGCTCCTGGAAGAACTCCTCATCAGCAGGATCCGCGTCATCTTCTTCAGCAACTGGGGGGGAATATTTATATAGAGCAAGGGTGAGTACGGGAGTACTCAGCAAGCCAGGGGAAATAAGTGTTTAATGCAGGCTTCAAGGGAAGGCTGTTGTTTTTGCAATTGATTTTATTTGAACTCTTTTCTGAAAACAACTAAGTGAGTGCTTCTCAAACGACACGGATGAGACAGTGCGTCTCGTCCGGTCGGAGTATGTGCAATGTATCAGTCTTTAGGATTGCAACAAGGTTGGCACCCAGCCAACAGCTTTTCAAACGGCCACCCGGGCAAACAACTTTTCAAACGGCCACCCGGGCCAACAACTTTTCAAACGGCCACCCGGGCCTAGCTGATCCCATCAGCTGCAGATTTTTCAAACATCGAACCCCTTTTCACAACAGCAATTTCACAAGCAGTAGTCAAACAAAACTACGCTAGGAATCACCTCACATCCGCCCATGACCGTGGGCACGGCTGTTCGAACAGTTTAATGACCTCTGCAGAGGGGGTACACTTTACCCACACGACATTACTAACCCGGGTCACCCAGCCCGTGGGGATCAGCCACGTCGGGAGACCTCCAAGCTTTCATGACAAGGCATTTCGAAAGCCGACACAGGTTTACCATATGCCGACGAGAGGGGTCCCAGACCAACAACAGGTTAGGTCCCAGACCATACTGTGCCAGGAAGCCCAGGGGTCCTCCCCGACACCACCCCGGCGAATCCACATGTCTCTCGGCATCAAGGCTCCCCTGATAAGCTAGTTACTCAGCCAGGGGTGTCCCATTCCACCCATGTGGTCGTACTTGTCTTATGTTCGGATGAAATTCCAAGGAAACGATCCTTAGGTGCAAGAGCGGGAAACCGTACACCCGGTACGTTCCCCGGTCCACGGTTTTGGAAATTCATTTAGTTCGCAAGCACCGACCCAGGTGTCGGGTTTTTCCAAGTCTTTTGTAAAACTCCAGTTTTACCCAAGTTGTTACTCAGATTTTAAGTTTGAAGGCGACCGTCGATACTCGCACAGAGTGCACGAGTATCGAGGCGCAACTGGGTGGTTACAAGGGGACATGGTATAGCAATTAACAAAGGAATGATCAAATGCGACAAATTAGGTAGGTCCGCCAATCTGCCTTGCAGATGGGACAAACAGATTAAGTGCGATCCTATCAATGCATAATATTTTGCAAGCAACATAATTAAATTTCAAATATAGGCTCAAGATGTTCAAAGGTGGCTTGCCTTGCTCGAGATCTGGAGCTTGATCCTCGAAATCCTCGCACTGCGGGTCTTCGGGCTCTGAAACTATACGCGAAACGGAACAACTCAACAAACGGCGAAAATAAAGCCCTATTAATGACCTCTAAGCGTGCCATTAGATAGATCTCGAGATTTGGGGAATTTTGGAAGTTGAACGGAGTCAAACGGATTTACGGTTGGGAAGATATTGAATTTCTAAGATTATTGAATTTTTGATCTAAAGGAAAAGGATTTAATTAAATCCTTTTTGGAAAAGAAAAAGAAAAGAAGGGAGGGAGGGAATATAGACTTTTCTCGGACGGCTAGGGCGCGGCCCAAGAGAAATGGAGCGGTCCGGCCGAGCTAAATGGGCCGGCCGGCCCAAGGCGGCCCAAACTCGCGCGCTCGCGGGAGGGAGGAGAGAGAGAGCCGGTGGACCGGGCTCACCACGCGCGGTCCCGGGTGGGACCCGCTTGTCAGCGGCTCGGCTCACCGTGCGGAGGGAGCACGCGACGCACGCGCGCGGGCGGGGAAGGGACGCAGTGCATGCGCGCGGTCCGCGGTGGACGCAGGTGCGGCGGGCCCACGCGCAGCCTCACGGCTCGCGGTGAATCGCGCGCACGCGAAGGGACCGACCGGGGTCGGCCCGACCCGGTCTGGCTGAGCTGGCGCCGACGTGGCGCCTACGTGGCTGCCACGCGGGCCGGCGGGAGGTAGACGACGACCCGGCCGCGAATGGACGGCGGGCGGCGGCGGCGAGCGGCGGAGCGAACCACGGCGATACGGGCAACAGCGAGCACACCGGGCGGTTGCACGTGACAAGGGGAGGCGAGCCAACGGCTCGGATTCGCCGGAGGTTGCTCGACGGCGGCGGATTGCGGCGGCGGCAACCGGCGGCGGGAGAAGAGGGAAACGGCGACGAGGTCACGAGAGGTCGATTCCCGGCGGTGAGAGCATCTACGCGGCTTCGGGAACTCGACGCTAGCGTCGGATTGGGCGGAACTACGCCGAGCGAGGCCGGCGACGAGCGGGTGCTACGGAGCTCGGGCGGCGACGGCGGCAAGCACACGGCGAGCGACGGCAACGGTCGGGGCGGTGCCGGCTAACTACGGGGAGTCTACTCAAGCTACTACCGAAAGCTAGGGGGAGGAGATGGAGCGAGGAGGAAGAACAGAGAGAGACACTACCATGCGGGACGGGGCGCAGTGACGAGAGGCCGACGGCGCGGGAGTGATCTCTCCGGCCTCGGGCCGAGGAAGAGGAAGAAGAGGGCGCGCCCGGAGTCCCCTTCCGCGTCCACGAACGCACCGGCTCGGGCGGGAAACCACGCGGGCGCGCGCGCGAGCAACGGCGCGCAAGGCCGGCTTTGCGAGCGGGGAGCTCGCGCGAGAGGAGGGGGCGCTCGGCGCGGGCGACTCCCGCGCACGCGCGAGCAGCGTGCGGGCGAGGCTGAGCGGGGAGGGGGG